GGGAGGGAGAGTTCCCGGGGGCAAGGGGGGCTGCAGCGGGGGTGGGGCGGGGGCTGGGGGCCCCCCCCCCCCGCCGTCCCGTGTCTGATCACTCGCGCCACAGATCCAGAAACTCTACATCTGCCCCAAGCTTGCTTCTCCAGCACTAGAGATTCCTCGCCCCACGGGGATCATCTATGGCTACTGAAACATTGGCTACTGAACATTCGTTCAGACTTTTCCATAAGCTGTTACCCAAAGGGCCGAATGAACTTTTTCGCCAACACAGTAGCTTCCCAGAAAAGACAGTGTGGGGCTGTGGAAAGAAAAGTCAAGCAGCAAAGCAGCACTTGAATCCTGGCTCTGCCCATTCTGAGCCGTGAAACCTCAGACAAGTCACTTGAGTTATAGATACCCTTGCTCTCTGTTCTAGCTCAGAGTTGCTCTCAAGGAATTATGGAGCTTCCAGATGGACAGGGCAAAATGAAACAGATTGTCTCAGATCTTCCATCTCCAAGATTGGGCAGGGCTCCAAGACTCTCACGCACACCACACACACAAACACATGCATGCAGGGAATTCCCTGGCAGTCCAGTGGTTAGGACGCTGCGCTTCCACTGTAGGCGGCACGGGTTCGATCCCTAGTCAGGGAACTAAGATCCTGCATGTTGTGCGGTGTGGCCAAAACAAAACAAAACACATGCACGCACACCTACACACCACACACACGTACACGTGTGCACACATACATAGCGCGCGCGCGCGCGCGCACACACACACACACACACACACACACACACACACACACTCTCTCCAGAAAACCTCAGACTAAGAGAATGAGAACGGAGAATGCGTATTCCTGGAAAGCCAGTTTCTAAATCAGTAGAGGGGTTTCAGGGATAACAGAAGTTAGAGCTAGTAAGAGGTGGAGCCTCTCAGAGATGGGGAGTCAGAGGTGACCCTCCTGAGTCCTCTTGGTAACCTGGGGCCTCCCCGATCCCTGCACCCTTGAAATGCCATCCATGTAATTCTAGCAGGTAGACCTTAGCTTGGGGGTGTACATGACAATCGCCAAGATGCTGAGAAGACACAGGTGCCCTGGCTCCTAGGTGGAGTGTGGGAGATTCCAGTGCAGGCAGCCACACCTCTAGGGGCTGATGCAGCGCCTCAAGGAGGCTGGAGTTAAGAAGTTAAGACCATTTTCTGAGTAGTGGGTTCTCTTAGCCTCATCTTTTTATCATCAACGTTCCTGTCGGAAAGCGTTGCACGTGGAAGCCGGGATGCCCTCAGAGGCCACGACCCCCGTCACACTGAGGCTCTGTTTTTCTGAGCTGGGCCAGGGAGGTGGTGCAGCCCACGGGAAGGGCAGGCGGGCAGCCAGTGGGCAAGGGATGGTGGATCTGGACAAGGGGAACCAGGCGTGAAGGTCAGGGCAGCCGGGAGGGGTTTCCGCTGGGCTGGACAGCTACATCTTTGCCAACCCGGACGAGGCAGGTGCCAGACCCAATTCCTGCTCTCTCTGTGGCTCGAGAGAGGGGGGTGGAGCTGTTGGGTCTTTCTGTGCCAGCCCGGGGCAGAAATCAATGGGTGGAGCTGGTCCCTGGCATCCAGAGAGCAAAGGAGGGTGGGCTCCCACCCATCCCCAGTTAAAGACCCAGCCTCGGGAGAAACTCTGAGCTGGTTCTCTCAGGAGCACACCCCACCTCCACCATTTCAATTCATCAACTTGGAAGGACTCCCTCCCGTGAAGATTGGGGCCAGGCCCTACTTGCTTCTGGAAAAGGTGAGACCTCCCCAGCACCTGCCCACCCATAACACACACCCCTTGGGCTCTAGACGCCACCCTCCTCTTTCTGTTCCTTTGTCCTTAGAAGAGCTCTCCTCTGTACTCACCCAGCTGAAACGGCCACCTAGCTCTCTGCCTGTTTCTCCAACTCTCAGGGTGGGGCACCGGGTCTGCTGTGTGTCTCCCTGGAACTCTGAGATGGGAAAAATTACACTAGGAGGTTGGACAGAAGCTGGTAAAAGAAGCCTTCCAACAAGGTGAACCAAGAGACCTGAGACCTCTTGGGAAGGTGAATTAAAGGAAGGAAGTGACCAGGCATCTCCAGTCCCCATGCCTGGATTTGGGCTGCTTGGGCGGGGGGTGGGATGCCTGCCGAGGACCAGCCTCCAGTGAGGCGGCCAGCTGTGCTCTGGGCAGGGGTGTTCCGTGCAGGGGTGCACAGGCTCGGGTGCAGCTCCTCTATGCCCAGCCCTGCCATCTTAGCTCACCTTGACCCTGGGTGAGGGGTGTGATGGTCACAGCCCCCATCTCCCTAAAGGCCCATCACCCTCCCAGGAACATTCTTCAACAAAGAACATGTAAATGATATCAGTTACCCCGTGGGCCCCTATTTGAGACCCTTGCCCTCCTTTCTGGAGAGCTAGCCCACCCCAAAATGGGAGAGGGGGAGGGGTGGGAGCCTGAGCTGCCGCCATGCTCCTGTTCCAGGCCCTTCCTTTGCAGCCGGCTCACCGTGGCTCCCCAGCCATGACGCTGGCAAGCTCGTGCTCTGTGCCAGGGTGGAGGCTGAGCCTGGGATCCGGGGAGGGGGCCGGCGACCCTCTGCGCTGGTGGCGGCCACTGGTTTTGGAGCCCTCTGCCTGCCCTTTGGAGAGCCTTAAACTTCCCAGAAGAGGAATGACTAGCTGTGCCAGGTGGTAGGAGCTATGGGGGAGGGTGCCGGATCTGTCCCCCTCAGGGGCCCACGGGCAGCACAATAGCCCCTGGGGCTGCTGCTCTCTGGCTTAACTCGTTGCCTGGGCAACAGCTGGGGCCCGTTTCCACCAATCCACGGCAGAGGCTGGGTGGTGGGAAGGAAGCCAGCCTGGGAAGGGAGGGCACCATCCCCTTGGGCGGGACGCTATATAAAGAGGAGGAATGTGAGTGGAGAGGTCTGGGCTTCGCTCTCCCTCCAGTGGGCTTGGGGGCAGGGCACAAAGATGCTTAGGCTGGGCTACACCAAACCTGGGTCCTGGGCCAGCTTCTGGGCCATCCTGACCTTAGTGGGCCTGGTCACTCGTGCAGGTGAGTGGGCAGGGGGCAGGGAGAAGGGGCAGGACCTTCCGGCTTTAGCCACACTCGGCCAGGAGGGGGCGGTGTCCAGCCAGCCAGGACGGGCGCAGAGTGGATTTGATCACACAGCTCCGTGGAGGAGGGCGGCCTGCCTCCGAGGGGACGAGGGCTGGGCAGGCAGGCAGGCGTCTCAACGACAAGAAGACCCTTCCACTGTCCATTGTCCCAGGCAGCTGGGCCCAGCTAGAGGCGAGTGGGGTGCCATCAGCATTCAGGGCCTTCAATGTGACAGCTTGGAGAGGCGGGGCTGGGAGATAACCTCGGGCTCCTCTCACCCTTTCTTCCTCCCTCTGTCTCCCTCTTGCTTTACACAAAGACGCTCTGCTCTCCTGTGAGTGTCCTCTCCAAGAGCGCACATGGGCCTCGGGACTAGTGTGTGTGTGTGTGTGTGTGTGAGTGCATGTGAGTGTGTGAGTGCATGTGTGTGCGTGCGCGCGCCGGGGGGTAGGTGTGCCCATCTGCTGCTGTCAGCTCCTCACACTGTGCTCCGCTTGGAGAAGCTGCTGGCAGTGTTTTCTGTCATTGAGTTTTCTGTCACCGAGGGCATGTCCCCAGCTGACCCTCACGGTATCCCTGGAAACATGCGAGAAGGCCCCAGCGCGCCCAGCCTGCAAGGCGGGAACACCAGCCTCAAGGCACAGGTACCCCGAGAGTCCTGTCCAGGACAAGCTGGCCCTCTGTGCTTTCTCTGGTCTCCCGCAGGCCAGTGTAGGCGGGACCCAGGAGGGCTGCTGGGCCTGGAAGCAGCTTCCCCTCCAGGCTGCAGCCTCCTCACAGCCAGCCCCCCTCCCCCCCCTCAGCGCCGGGGCATTCTCTGGTCTCCCGCAGGCCAGTGTAGGCGGGACCCAGGAGGGCTGCTGGGCCTGGAAGCAGCTTCCCCTCCAGGCTGCAGCCTCCTCACAGCCAGCCCCCCTCCCCCCACTCAGCGCCGGGGCAGGTCCTCGCCCCCCTCCCCCCACCGCAGCTTGCCAAGCCCATCCTCCTCCAGGGCCTCTGGCAGGTTCCTTCTCATTGCTCCCTCAGGGAGCCTGTCTCTGATTCCTGCACCTAAAGGAGCTGCCACCCCACTACTATCACCTCCCTTATTTACCACAATCTAAAACTAGAGTGCTTATTTGTGTATTTATTGCCTGGCTAGGGAGCTTGTGCTTTGATGAGTGTAAGAAGCTGGCTTGTTTTGTTCACTGTGCTATTCTGAGCTCCCAGGAGCGTGTCTGGCTTGTAGTAAGTGCTCAATTTGTTAGTGACTGCACTCCTTTGGACAACTCTTCCGAGGGGTGAGGTGCACAGTTCTTCAGGAGGTGAAACGGGTGGGAACCAAGAGGTTCCTCGGCCCTCGCCTAGGGGTCCGGCATCATGGAGACCAGCTCTGGACATTTTGTCCCATGCTGGGTCACGAGCTCTCCCCGCCAGGAATCTGCCCACCTTCCAAGAGCATCCTCTCAGGGTCTGCTCAGGGTCAGGTTTACAAGCTTTCCCAGCCAGGATGTGCTTGTGTGCACACACGTGCATCCACGCACTTCATGGGCACAAACAGGTGAGCACACAGCCTCCCCAGGCTCATCTACTCTCTGCCCACAACCAACCACATGCATCTCCAGCTGGTCCCTCTGCAACCCCAGCCTGCTGCCCAGGGCCCGGGTGCCTTCTCAGGCTGTGCCGTGTTCCTTCCTGCTGCAGCCCAGAAAACCGATGTCGGCGGGGAGTCAACGGGCACCTCCATCAACCACTCCCAGACGCTGCTCCAACGCCTGCAGGAGCTGCTGCGGCAGGGCAATGCCAGCGACGTGGTGCTGCGGGTCCAGGCTGCGGGCACCGACGAGGTCCGAGTCTTCCACGCCCACCGGCTGCTGCTGGGACTGCACAGTGAGCTGTTCCGGGAGCTGTTGAGTAACCAGAGCGAGGTGGTGCTGCAGGAGCCCCGGGACGGTGCTGCTGTCTTTGACAAGTTCATCAGGTGGGGAAGGATCAGGGGGAAGACTCCAGGACTTTCCAAGTCCCTGGCTTCTCCACTCACAGGGTGATGGAAACCCTGGATCCTAGCAGACATCACGCCCATTCCCTGGATGTCATTAGGATGACCGTGCAGCCACCTCCTCCTTCCCTCCTTCCACTGCACTCCTGCAAAACGCAGCGTGACTCCCCTGCCCTTGCCTGGAGGCTCTGTGTGGTTTGATGTCACTTACCAGTTACCCTCAGAGCTGTTTCCAAATCTGGCCGTGAGAGCTTTTAAAAACTGTAGATTCCCGGGCCCCACCCTGGATCCTGGGCTTCCCGTCTAGGGTTGGGCCAAGCAGTCGTTTCTTTCCATTTTTAAAAAAATATTTATTTATTTATTTGGCTGCACCCGGTCTTAGTTGTGGCACGTGGGATCTTTAGCTGCGGCATGCGGGATCCAGCTCCCTGACCAGGGATTGAACCCAACCCCCGCGTTGGGAGCACAGAGTCTTAGCCACTGGACCACCAGAGAAGTCCCCCAAGCAGTCGTTTCTTATTTTAGTGTCTCCGGGTGGCTTTGGTGTCTGGCCCCGTTTTGAACCAGAGGGCTAGGGAGCTAAAAACGTTAGCCATCTCTCTGCCCCATCTCCTGCCTCCTGCTAGTGGGGCACCATTCACACTCTAGTCTGAGAAAGTGACCCTGATTTGACGGCTTAGACAAGATGGTTGCAGAATTCGGGTCATTGCTTCCAACTTCCGGGCAACGGAGGAGGGATAACACAGAAGGGCCAAAGGGCCTCCCCGCCACCCCCGTCAGTTCTATTTAACCAGCCTTCCCCCAATCCCACTCTGTGCCTCTGCGGACATCTCATTGGCTAGAATTCAGTCACATGACCGCACTCGCTCTAAGGGAGCCTGGGAAACATCTTTTAGTCCCAGAGGCAAACAGCGAAGGAAGATGGCTTGCCCACTCTCATAGCGAGCAGCTGGCGGCGTATGAGTCCCGATAGTAAACCCCACAATGGCAGGAGCTACATCTGTCTTCTAGCACAGAGCTCGGCACCTAGTAGGTGCTCAATACATGCATGCTATTTCCATGTCCCCACGAGAAACGGAGAGAAGAGGCCGTGAAGTCGGATGGGCCTGGGAGGGCCCTGATGTTGGCGCCCTTGACCATGATGGTCTCTGACCAAGGCCGGGGCCCTCTGGACCCAGAAAGCGGCTCTGGGTGGGGTCGGGGTGGGCCCGCCCGCCCTGACCGCCCGCCCTGACCGCCCGCCCTGACCGCGCCCCATCTCTACGCCTCTCCGGCAGGTACCTCTACTGCGGCGAACTGATCGTGCTGCTGGCGCAGGCTATCCCCCTGCACAGGCTGGCCACCAAGTACGGCGTGTCCTCCCTGCAGCGGGGCGTGGCCGACTACATGCGCGCTCACCTGGCGGGCGGCGCGGGCCCGGCGGTGGGCTGGTACCACTACGCGGTGAGCACCGGGGACGAGGCCCTGCGCCAGAGCTGCCTGCAGTTCCTGGCCTGGAACCTGTCGGCCGTGGCGGGGAGCGCCGAGTGGGGCGCCGTGAGCCCCGAGCTGCTGGCGCAACTGCTGCCGCGCTCGGACTTGGTGCTGCAGGACGAGCTGGAGCTGTTCCACGCGCTGGAGGCGTGGCTGGGCCGCGCGCGGCCGCCCCCGGCCGTGGCCGAGCGGGCGCTGCGCTCCATCCGCTACCCCATGATCCCGCCGGCGCAGCTGTTCCAGCTGCAGGCGCGCTCGGCAGCCCTGGCGCGCCACGGCCCGGCGGTGGCCGACCTCCTGCTGCAGGCCTACCAGTTCCACGCCGCCTCGCCGCTGCACTATGCCAAGTTCTTCGACGTCAACGGCAGCTCCTTCCTGCCCCGCAACTACCTCGCGCCCGCGTGGGGCGCCCCGTGGGTCATCAACAACCCGGCCCGCGACGATCGCAGCACCAGCTTCCAGACGCAGCTGGGCCCCAGCGGCCACGACTCGGGCCGCCGGGTCACGTGGAACGTGCTCTTCTCGCCGCGCTGGCTGCCCGTCAGCCTGCGGCCCGTCTACGCGGATGCCGCGGGCACCGCGCTGCCCCTCGCGCGCCCCGAGGACGGCCGGCCGCGGCTCGTGGTCACGCCGGCCAGCAGCGGCGGCGACGCGGCGGGCGTGGTCTTCCAGAAGACCGTGCTGGTGGGGACGCGCCAGCACGGCCGCCTGCTGGTCCGCCACGCCTACAGCTTTCACCAGAGCAGCGAGGAGGCCGGCGACTTCCTGGCGCACGCCGACCTGCAGCGGCGCAACTCCGAGTACCTGGTGGAGAACGCCCTGCACCTGCACCTCATCGTGAAGCCCGTCTACCACCCCCTCATCCGGACCCCCAAGTAGCCAAGCGGGGCCCGGGGCGGGAAGCTCGGCGTCCCTGAGGCCTCTGGATCGGGAAATACAGGCCCGGCAGAGATGGGCCAGAGGGACCAGGAGTGGCATGGCCAGTGGAGGTGCCCACCCTGGCCCCTTGGGTGGAATCCAGCTGAGGGGTGGTAGACCAGATGCCTGGTTTCAGGAGCTGATTTCACGCTGACTTGAAGGTAACACTCTTGGTGGAATAAACCAATGCTCAGAGAGGCGAGGGGATGATTAAACCACCCAGTTCATGGGTAAAAGCCATCCAAGGAGAGCTGCCCAGGTCAGGGTCTCCCCATCTTTCTTTAGCTTTTCCCTGAGGGCCCCGCCTCCACAGGGAACAGGGCAGGGAAAAGCATCCAAATGGTCAAGGCCCTAGGTACCCCTGTGGGAGCTTTCTCACCCTGAAGCCGCGGGGCTTAGCTGAGCTTCTGAGTCCCGACTTGCAGGGAGGGCATAACCACTTCGTTTGGCTTGTGGACCACCCCGAGTCTCTGGCCTCTCCTGGGAGGGGGTCTGGGGAGGGGGGAAGGCTGGTGGGAGGGGATGTGAATGGGCCTTATGGCCCTGCCCTTCCTGGGGAAAGACCTCAGGGTCTAGAGGAAAACTGCTTTCCCCCAGGTGTTTGTAGGTTGGTGCTGTACAACCAGCCAGAGGGCACTAGGGGATGGTGGTGGTGGTGGTGGGAGGGGAGTTGGGTTGAATCTTAATCAGTCATGGCCACCCCACATTTCAGACAAGGTCTAGTTTCCAACACAACCATCAAGACTCAAATGGGATTTTATTGTTAAAAAGGGGGCTTGGTGGGGGCGGAAGCCACTGCTAAGTAACAAAACCGGATTCCCTCCCCGACCCCAAGCACAGCATGTGAATGTTCCCGCCCCAGATGTGGGCCCAGGAGCCCTGTCCCATTAACAGTTCCCTGCCCCCCATTTCTGAGGCCAAGTCGGGCCACAGGTCTCAGAACAGGGTTTTGGCAGCAGGGTTTTCTGTCCAGGGCTGGGAGGCCAGGGAGCCCTGCCATCCCAGCCGTGCCTCCTGGGCTCACCTCCCTTTCCCAGTGGCACCGCAAGCACGGAAGTGTTGGGCAGGCACCCTCACCGTTCCTGGGTCTCAGGAGCCCCGGTCTTCTGAGATCCTGAGCTCCTGCTCGCAGGTCACCCCCGTGTGCCCAGCCTCCATCTCCCATTTCCTGCTACACCCCATTCAGTCTTGGGGGCAGGAGGGCCAGTTGCAGGCAGGGCCCCTCAGTTATGTTGGAAGCGTCCATCTTTGCCATGGGTGCTTGTGCCATGGGGCAGGCGGGGCCCCCGGGTAGCCCGTTGGGAAACACCAGCTGGGTTGGAGGGGACAGCGAGGGGTGAGGAGTCCCCAGGGCCTGCAGCAGGGGAAGGGCCACGAGCAGTGCTTTAGGAATGCCTCTCCATCCCCTCTGATCCCCCAGTGGCTTTGAACTCCCTAGGGGCACAACCCCAAGGTGCCAGGCCCACAAATATTCTTCAAGAACTCTGTTTCCAGCAAGGGGCAGCCATAGGGCAGGGAGCTCAACATAATTCCTCCCTGGGCTGACCAAGCGCTCCCCTCCCATTCCCTCCTTTGCTGGTACTGACCTGTGTTCTGGCTTGGAGGGAGTTTGACCTTGGCCATAGGCAGGGTGACCTTTCCCAGATGCCGGGTACCAGGGGCTGGGTGCCCGCACACTTGCACCCTGTGGTCCGAGATGCTCTGCGCGGGATGGGGCCCTGGGAGGTGTGTCTTGGGGCGGGAGAGCTGTGTTGGTTGGAGAGCAGTGAGGTGAGGTGGGAGCCGCATGCGGATCTGATACAGGGGTCTGCCCCGGCAGCTATGCCAGCTTGGGGGGATACGGCATGGAGGGTGGTGCACAGCTAGGGGTACCCTGGGGCCGCTGGAGCAATCCAGCCCTCAGAGCCCCACCAGCAAGGCAGGGGCCCAGACCCCCCAATCCTTGCCCCTGGACTCACCCCTTGCCCTGTGACCTCAAAGGACTGCGACCTTCGCTTCCTCCTCTTTGCCTCCAGCAACTCCTCCTGTTTCTTGCCCGGGCTTTTCTTCTGGCCACGCAGCCAGGGCCTGGGGCCATCGCCACGATGCTCGACGGCCCGGGATGGGGCCTCACCCGTGCTGCTGGACAGGTTGTCCTCACTGGCAGCGTGCTGCAGCATGGGGCTGGGTGGCCGCGCATCGTCAGCCTCGCTCAGCGAGTGCAGGGACAGGCTGCTGCGCTCCATGCTGGGTGCCAGCAGGTGGCGCCCCTCGGTGCCCAGGGCCCGAGAGCGTCGCCGGGCAGCCTTCACCGAGATGCACTTTGTGTCCGTCAGGATCTCCTTCCTCTCTGCGGCAGGACAAAGGAGCACCCAACCCGGGATCAAGGCCACATATTCCTCCCCCTCCTGCACCTCCAACACCCCTTCTCTGCCAAAGCGTCCCCCCTTGCTTGCTGTTTAAGAAACTCTGGGCGAGTTTCTGAGCCTTGCTTTCATCTGGAAACTGGGGATGGTAAAACTAACCCCACTGGCTTGTGAGGATTGTTTTGGTTTTTGTTTTTTTTTGGCTGAGCCTTAGTTCCCCGACCAGGGATCGAACCCATGCCCCCTGCAGTGGAAGCGCAGAGTCTTAACCCCTGGACCGCCAGGGAAGTCCCAGCTTATGAGGAGTGACTCAGATAACGGGCATAGCCTATGGCCAGGGCGTAGGGATTCGGTCTATATTTGCTCTTACAATTATTCTGAGTGGGAAGGTGGGGCACGATCCTAAGCGCCATGTGTTCCCCATTTTGGTTTCTGATTGTGCCCCCAGCTTTGTGTGGACAGAGCAGCTCGTTAATCCTCTCTGGGCACTGGTGCCTCTCTTTCTAGAACGGTCAGCACCCGACGCATGGGTGTACTTAGCAGTGCAGAGGGAAGGAAGGGGCTCTGGGCTGGGTGATCTGAGCAGTCTGGACGATGCCAGGCTCAGGCTGACAGGGTGGGCAGGAGGCACACCTTTGCAGGACGAAGGGATCTCTGGCAGGTTCTCACTGCTGTCAGGGGAGGAGTTGATGCGGCCGCTCAGGCTGCCCAGGCTGTCCTGAGTGGGGGCCTGTGAGACGAATTGGTTGGGAAGAGAAGCCACTGGACACAGCAGGGACCCTATGTCCCCAGGGGGCTGTTTTGGAAAGGCTCCATCCCAACCACTGGGTGTCCACCCTGGTGCTCCCACCTGCAGCAGAGGAGCCCATCGGGCCAGCGGCGCTCAGTGCTCACCTCCTGCGTCACCAGGCTGCCAATCTGGATGGGGGGTGGGGTGGGCACAGAGGAGCTCTTCACCTGCCAGGCCCCGGAACTGGCCTTGGACACGTGGTTGGCTTCACTGAGGTTGGCAGAGGAGGATGGGCATCTGTTGACCAGGCTGATCCCACTGCGGTCCCACTCCCACCCTAGGGGGGAGCTGTTGTGTAAAGGGAGAGAGGACCCAAAAGTCCTGGCTCCAGACCTGTGCAACCTCCCCGCTTTCGTTCCTGCTCCATACCCCCCAGGAAGCCCTGATCTGGGCTGGCATCTCTGGGACACAGCCAGTGGTGGCTCAGGCAGGAAGGACTGGCAGAAAGTGGCCCCTGGCCTCACCTCTCTGTGCTGATCGGAGGCAGGAAGCTGCCCTGCAGGAGCTGGGCTTCGGAGCTCAGCGTCTTCACGCTCTCTGGGTCAGACTCTGGGGTCAGCAAGGTTCCTGCTCTGCTAATTTTGGGCAAGGAGCTGTCCTGGGGAGCGGGGGGGGAAGGGGCAGTCAGAAGACTTGGTCCTGGGCCGGGTAACAGCACAGGGTGACAAAAGGCACACAGGGTGTCTGGGGCTGTAATAGGGGCTGGGAGCCCCAGAGGGCAGTGGGCTTGTTCTGGGTCCCCAGGGACAAGCTGTGGTAGGCTAGGCATCCCCCGTGGCACTGCCTGGTGGCCTGGTCTCCTGGGAGGGCGTCTGGGGCCATTTGTCATATCTCAGATAGCCAAACCTGACCTTCAGACCCTGGGCGGGGACAAGTGCCAGAGGAGAATACGCCGAGAAAGGAAGCTTACTCAGGCTTGGCAAGCCTTTGGGTGGGATAAGAAGGAAGGCGTCAGTTCCCTGGCGACCAGCCGGCCTGGTCCCACCGCCATGCCAACGACCTGCATGCACTGCCCTGGCCATCGGCCACTCTCTTAGCGCGTGTGCGCGTGCTCAGGCCCGAGGCGCCCACCTGCAGGGCCCCAGAGGCCACGCGGTCCATGATGGCGGCCCGCTCCAGGCTGCCCTCGTCCTGCGCTCGCACATACACGTCGTACAGCTCCTGCAGGCGCTGCGGGACGGCCAAGCTGTAGTCTGCCGGGGGAGGGGCAGGGCTCAGCGCGTGCCCTCGGGCCCTCTGCGGGTCGATGGGGCCCGTGGGCGGCTCGGACGCGCGGGGCGCGGGCCCTACCGTCGATGATCTGCCGCTGGCCCTGGATGATCTCGTCGCAGAGGCTGCGGTGCTGCTCCAGGCGGCGCAGGGCCTCGCGGCGGTGGCGGAGCGCGCCGTCGCGGAGCAGCGCGTGCGACTGCATCTCGGTGTTCTCCACCTCGAGCTCGTGCACGCGGCACAGCAGGCTGAGCACCTCGCGCTGCTCCTCGGAGCCGATGCGCCGCGGCAGCGTCTCCTCTAGGCGCCGGCCGCGCGCGCGCAGCTCTCGGCAGCGCTGCTCCAGCGTCAGCTGGGGACCAAGCGGGGTGAGCGCCAGGCGGGCTCTCGCCCTCTGAGGCCCACCCTCGAAGCTGTCTCTCGGGCCTTGCAACCAGGGGCTGCCCCTGAGGGGCCCGTCTCTGCCTACCTTCTTGCCGTCCTGACCACAACCCATCCCTGGAACCAGCTCTGTGGATCTGCTGGGCCCCAGCCCAGCTGATGCCCTCAGGGCTCACGGTACCCTGAAACCCCCTGGCCAGGATATGCTCCAGAACAGAGGGCAGAGGTCTGGAAAA